TTTCTGTTGCTTCTGTATCCTAGTTGATATGAATTACCTTCAACAGTCATTAGTTTCATAAATTGTTTTATTATTTCCTTCCATTTAGCTTCACTTTCATGATAAAAAGTGCATCATAATCCATACCTTCAACACTTGTTTCTTTTTTAATAGAAGGGGTCAGTGAATCTGTGGGTCAAGCTTATGTTTCATTTGTTTTCTAATTTTTTTTTGTCAAACACAAAAAAATACAATTTCCAGAAAATTATAGTGCAGCTTAAAAGAGATAGAAGCCTGGACTAACATAAATATTTTTTCAATATTAGAAAGTAATTAAGTGAAATTGAGTAGCTGAAATCTTGTAGAACATCTTATTGAGAACTAAATAATGATTCATATCAATGAAAATATAAAACAAGTTAAGTTTTCTAAAGGTGAACTCCACCAAAAACTTCAAAAAGAAAGTGAAAGAAAGCGGCGAGCATATATTGAGAGGGAATTGCAATTTCCACAACCCGCTCCGCATTCACACTATATTCCTTAAAAAAAGTTTTGACCCGCTCCGCACCCACATAAAACCATACCCGCCGTTCTCTGTATAAGGCAAAACCCGCTCCGTCTCATTGCTATCGCTACATATGAATGGTTTATAGAGTGTCAGTCATTTGGGAGTTCAAAGAATTAGCAAATTTACTTCCTCCATCCTAATTTATGTGCCAACTTTTGAAAATTTGTGGTGTTAAACAAATTTTAGATACTTATGTGGTTATAATTATTTATTAAGTTAAAAAAAAAGTTTAAATTGAATTGTTTCTATTTATAGAAAAGTTAACATATACTATTTTGTATTCCTAGAGTATAAAGAAAAGAGAGTTTCACATAGATTGGGATAGATGATGCAAAGTAAGGAAAATATTTTTCAAAACTCTGTTCTACCACACCATGCATTCCAGACTTGGGTAGGGTCAAGGTTACGAGTCGAGTCTCGTGGCTGGGTGAGGCCTTAGTTGAGATCTCAGATTGGCAGTCGGGGTCGGAGGTGAGAGTCAATATGCTTTATGAAGGGCAAGTCATGTGTTTTTCTTATAGTCGTCTACATAGTTGCATTTGTGTTCCGACAAAAATAAAGTATTTTGATGATTTTCCCTTGCAAGTTTTTTTTTTGGTAATTTAACGATAAACAAATACACCTAAAGAGCACTCTAGTTAAGCCTCTTATAGAACTCTAGTCACACAAATATCTGCAACAATCAACAATATTTATTCGCCTTTCTAGACCGTTTAACTATCTCAAGTCTATCTACAAATTCCTTCTTAATTTGTGTCACGGTTGCATTGTATTTATAGTGATGCCTTGAAACAATTTCCAGTTCCTTGCTCTCCAAACCCGGTGTTACTCTGTACAATGCAGCAATAAGTTCCTTGTGAAAACTGTTGCCAATTCTTCCTTTTGAGTCTATTTAGAATATGTTTGACAGCAGCTGGAATCAGTGTCCCAGACCATTGTTGCATTTCAGCTCAGTGTCAATCTTTTTATTGCATTCCTTCTTTGCTCCCTTCCTACGCTCTTTCTCTAAAAACACTTTCCCCTAAATGTTCGTTTTTCCTTTGATTTCAGGACAGTTGGTGCATATTCAGAGGCTTTAGGATAACGAACAACCTACGACTTGACATCCCTATTTTATCTTCACTTTTGATATGTTCTATTTCTTCAGTTTGGGCAAATTAATTGACATTTGTTTGTTCAGCTTCTAGTCAAATTCTGTAAAAAGTGTTCTAGATTTGCTATTAGGTTGCATGGTGTCTGATATATCCAAAGAGTGTTTCTGTTGCTTCTACATCTTAGTTGATAAGAATCACATTCAACAGTCATTAGCTTCATCAATTGTTGTTATTGTTTACTTCTATTTTAGCTTCACTTGCAATTGTGTCTTTAAGTCAATTTTTTAATCTAAAAATCCATTTAATTGATTTGATTTCGATCAATAATAGATCCAACCGGACTCATGGACACCCCTATAGATGACATATTTGAATGTTCTCTTTAAAGAATGGTGAGCTACAAGATAATCTAGTTTATACATATTGTTGGAACTGATTATATAAATTTAAGAACTTTTGACCCAAAAATAAATGATCTAAACCTCCCTAAATTTAAGGTGTTTTATTTAGATTTTCACCAAAGATATTAATTATATTAGTTACCCTATCAAATAAGTCAAGTTAATTCGGTGATACTTAAGACTATTTATAATTAAGCAAATCTAAATTAAGAACACACCAAATTTAAGTTCATTGGTCAAAAAAAGAAGTCTTTAGAGAATATAACATTGGCCAAACACTAAAAAATAATTTTCTTTTTTTTAAAAAAAAATTAACGTGGCAAAATTCCTCTTTTTCAAAAAGAAGAAGAAGAAGAAGAAATATGAGTATTCACAAATAAGCATTTGGTGAAGAAAGTTTTCAATCATTTTAAGCTTATTTTAAGTTATTTTTACCTTGGTTGAATAGTTCCTAACTAATTTTAAGTTTTTTTAAAAAAAATTTAAGTTATTTTTATATTTATCAAATATTTGTAGAATCAAAAATTGACTTAATTATAGGTTTGACCAACTTTTAAGTCAATTCAGACATCCTTGTAGTCTAATCTAACTTTAAAAATTAGTAAAATTGATTTTTGAAAAACACAATATGACAAATAAAAAATGGACAAAGAGAGTACCCCCTCAGTCCCTATTTACTTGTCCATATTTCCTTTAATATATATCCCTATTTACTTGTCCATTTTAACAAATCAAGAAAGGATAACCAATTTTTCTTATAATGCCCTTATTTAATTCTAGAAAATTTCTAGTTTTACTAAATTGTAAAACATGTTTTATTGAAACCAGAAAATACATTTATTATACTTGGGGAGTT